TCCCTACTTCCTCCTTCCTCCTCTTCCTCCCTCCTCCTTCTCCTCCTCCCTCCTTCTTTTTCTTCTCCCTCTCATTCGTTCACTCTAACAAAGGTTTGTTTAGTAGTACTTCATGCCAGGTGCCAGACTTGGATTATTTGGGACCAGAAATCCATAATGATTACTTTTACATACTTTCCTAGGGCCGGGGAGATGGCTCAGTGGAATAAGCATTTCCCTAGCAAGCGCAAGTGCCTGAGTTCAATCCCCAGTTCTGCAAAAAACCAAACCAAAACAAATACATACTTTCCTAAGGGATGAATGGGATTCCCAAGGAAGGCGTGGGATTAATTGTGTCACCCTTTTGAGATTTTCTGTTATCTCATTAGAAGAGGGCCATCCTCTCCCACCAAGGCTAAAAGTAAGGCTAAAGACACTTCAAGGCAAGGTCTTTCTCTGTGTAGGACCACCGATGTCCTCTGTCAGCCAATAATCCCCTCCTCAATCAATAAACACAAAGGTTTTGGCTGTCTTCTGGCATTTTGCTCCCCTTGAACAACTGGTCAACCCAGATCGCTGCCGTACCACCATTCTCTCTCTCTCTCTCTCTCTCTCTCTCTCTCTCTCTCTCTCTCTCTCCTTTCCTTCCTCCCACCTGCCCTCCCAGCCTCCCTCCATCCATGCACTATGACACCAGGTGGGAGATGGGGGTTCATTGCAGGGCTCTCCAGTATTAGATGCTTATCATAACAAATAGGCAAGTCCTTGGGGGCAAGAACATTTCTTTTAACAGGTATTTACAGTCCAGGCTAATGCGAGGATGTCTCTGCTATGATTCTTTATTTTCCCCCTAGTTCTGCTTCATCTTGGACTCCTGTAACATTTTTTAAGCCTTTGCCACATTTCACAGCCTGTTTAAAAAAAAATAAAACCAAGGCTAGTTGTTATATACGTCACCTGCTTCTTGTGAAGAATGTGTGGGCTCATCTATGTGCTGCATGGATGCCCTCAACAAATGGTTGCATTTAACTAACTGAATGGATGAAGAAGGAAAAAATAATTTTTTAAGTCAATACATTAGGTGGTGAGGTGGAAAAAGGAGAGTTTTGTGCTCTTTTTCTTTTAAAGAACTGTATATATCTATTTGGGGCAGTATAAGTGATTAGCAACTAAATTACTAACCGACAGAACACTAACCTTATTTATTATTTCTCTAACAGTAACTTTGGATGAAAAAGAATTTTGAATGGGCAATCCTGCAGCCTGCAAAGGCATTAATTATATGAAACAGCAATTTACATTATTTATAAGGGAGCTATTTACATTACTTAGCCCTGTCAGACACAGTAGTCACAAAGCTCCACTCTTTCATTACAGGGAAAAGAATAAAGCAAAGTGACAAGGAAGTAGAAAAGATATTATAATGGCTGCATCTCATTACAAGAAAGACAACGTCTCTAAAATGTTTAAAAAAAAAACCCTCCAATATAATTTAACTGAACAAAATGGAAACTTCCATCTTGCCCCAATGATGATTCAGAACATAACACCTATTTAAATATTCAGAAAAGCTTCCAAAAACTACTGCAAGTTAAGCATTGCTAACTAAATTACGTGCAAGGAGGAAGATGATTAAGACACTGTGTTTCATAATTCAAGTATTTGAATTTAATTAGTCACATCTTTCACAAGCAACTTTGAAATGGAAGTACCCGCACCATGAACAAGGTCATTGGTGACGGAAGCCAGATCGGGAACATTCCCACTGTGCTTTATTTCTGTTTTCTTCCTTCCTCTGTGGCCACTTTTAATTTAATTGAATCCTGCTGTTTTACTTTCATCAATATAATAGATAGTTCTCAGTGGCAAATAACACTAGCTTTGATCTGAAGTGGACAAGTCCATTGTGTGAAAACAAAGTTTAAGACTGAGAGACGTTAACAAGCTGACTGAAATAAAAAGACCCTACCAATATTTTTCTTTTTTGAAAATACTCCAAGGATGAAAAGTTCCTCCAGGCCTCCATTCTTTGAAGTCTTATGATTTTTTTTTCTCTCACAAGACATAAGTTAAAATCTTTATCCATCAGAGGATGATATCTAAATCCTTGTTGGAGAATTAGACCCAACAGTGAGGAATCTTTCCATTTCACCACTTGCTAGGAAGGTTCTCTGGCCATAGTTATCTGGCCATTTCAATGAGCTAAATACTCTCTTACTCCTTCAAAGAATATAAGGGGGCAGCGCAGACATAACGAGCTAGCCTCCCAAAGTAGAACAGACCCACAGGGCCCATACAAAATTAGGTCAGAGCTGAAAAAAACAAAACGTCTGTGGGCTAATAAGCTTCTCAATCTTTAACGGGAAATTGGGCTCACAGAATGCTAGGGTCACTTTAAGTGTGAAAGAACTGGTAACACTTTTCAGTGTTAAAGATCTATTTTTCTAAGCTATCCAACATTTCTAGTCCACCTCTTTGACAATTTCTGGCATTGAATGATTTGTAAGGAAGAAAGGTTCCCTATTCATTGAAACTCAAACTTCAAATTAATAAATTAGGCTCTGATCGTGATCCATACCATGTGGGGAAAGAGTTTCCCTTGCCATTAGCTACTTCCCATGAGGCACCGTAGTTTCCTCATTTGAAGTAAATAAAGCCTTTCAGGATCCTTACTTAAAATGCCAAAGTAGTCTGAGAATAGGCACTTCAAGCCACTGGTATGCATTTACATTAGTTCAGGTTGTGCAAAATGTACACTGATTTAGAATATAGTAAGAATATGGCTAAAATGCAAATACATAATCTATTATTAGAGAGAAAGACTAAGGGATCAGTTGTGGGTATCTGATCCTTCAATTGCTTGTTGAGATTTCCTAATTTCAATTTGGTTAGTCAACTAACTGTGGGAAGCCCATCAGTACAGATTACGGAACCTGCGCACAGGTTTCAGAGTCACAGAATAGGACCTGTGACATTACTTTGGTTTTTAGAAATTATTTAACCTACCTAAGATTTAGCTTCCTGTGATGATAAAATCGCAGCTCTAATATTCACAATATTAGAATGACAATACTGAATGGCAATGGAATACCCATCTCTGACAAAAGTAAACAAAAAAGGGGGATATAAATGAAGGACCATTTTGTAGTGAAAAAATATTTATCTGTATATACAAAATAGGATAGATATACAGCTCCTTTCTCTTAGTTCAATGAGAATAAAGATTTGTGCCAATGGTGTTTAGACAAGCTGTATCTGCATCTTGTGCCGTGAATAACTACTATGAAGACAACAATATGTAATGTATTAATTATTGTAACTGTCCAACTAACCTGTTTTGAAACTGTGTCAATGCTCTTTCTCAATAAAATTAATACTACAAAAATAACATTCTCCAGCTCTGTTTTTAAAGCCCTCTCTCTAGTCTCATCTCCCACCCGGAAGCCAGAGGCAACCGGACAAACTCCCTGGCCCTTTCTTTCTCCGCCCTGCAGGAGCCGCTGTGTTTCCCGGAAGGCGCGCGGATGCGTGGTTGCCGCGAGACCGTCGCTAGGCAACCGGGACTCCACAAACTCCCGGCGGCGTGCTCGCGTCAACATGGCGGCACTGGGCGCCCCGTCGAGCCCAGCGTCCCCTGAGGTGTCTCCCGCGTCGGTGTCGCCGCCTGAGCTGCCTCCAACCCCGTCGTCGACTTCAGGCACAGTGTCCAAGTCCCCCGTGGAGTCGAAGCCGAGCAGCCCGAGCCCGCTGCCGCGCTGCGCCTGTCGCGAGGATTCGCTGCCCACCGCCGTGTTCTACGGGCCGTTGGACGCCAGGAACCCGCTCCTGGCCTCCTGCGAGAAGGACGTCCGCGAGCTCCTGAGCTTCATGAAGAAGAAGAAGGCGCTGGCGGCCACGGAGGCGCAGCAGCATGACTTTCGTCGGCGTTGGTAAGGGCGGCAGGTCGCTGGGAGGGCGCGCGCGGCTAGAGAAGGGCCGGCGGCCAGGATGCAGGCGGCGCCCGCGTGGTGGGCGTGGTGTGCGCGGGCGACCCAGTGCCCCGAAGACGTGGGAAGACGGATGCGCAGTTGGCCGCGTGCAGGTTCGTCGCCGTCGCAGTCCGTGACTCCTGCTCCGTGTTAGGTCTGCCTTTTCAGGTCAAAATAAAAGGCAACACCAGAATGTTCCATAACTCACCATTGGTTCAGGTTCTGAGTGTCCCCTAATTATGACCCTGGGCTAATAATTTTTTCACCCACTCCAGGAGTTTCACAGTTTTCCATTTTGGGGTGCGAAATTCTGAATATGAAGACAAAAAAATAGGTTTGAGGTGGTTCCGGTTCTTGAAGTTCTTGATACCATGAAACATGTCATCCTGTCATGGACTCGTGTGTGTTCCCCTCTTTTTATGTTATTAGGGTTACAGAGACGCTTTTTTCTCCCATGATTTCATGACACAATCTGCACATCTGTTTTCCTTTTTTGGTGTCTGTCACCATGTTATTACTGTAACTCCAAGCTACCTATTTTTAAGATTCTTTGCTGTTTGTGTTATTATCTTTTTTGGTCAAATATACCACAAGCTGAACATTTACAAAAGTAGGTGGATGAGTGGCAGAAAGTACCAGAACAGTGACTAGTCTTAACTTACATTTTTGTGCACGCATTTAATATGAAGAAATAATTTTGGCTTACATGTAATCATTCATTCATTCATCCAAACTATATATATATATAATATATATATATATTATATATATATTATATATATAAAATATATATGTTAAAAGTCATGAAAATCCCTATCTACATGGAGTACGTATTTTTGTGAATATATTCAGTCACTAAAGTGTGGAAACATGGTAATTCCCCCTTGTCTAATTTTTACTTTCTGTGGCTTTGGTGCCCTGTGTTTAGCATGGTTCCAAAGTTCTAACTAGGAAATCCTAAAAATAAGCAATTTTTTTTTTTTATGTGTTTGGTACAGGGTCACACTACACAGCTTGGACTCTTAGTAATCCGCCTGTTTTGAGCCTCCCCAGCTGTGGGATTCCAGGCGTGGGCTACCACACCAGGACTCATTTTCTGGCACAGTGCGCCCCAGGGGTGGGGCCAGCATCCTGGGCCCTGTGCAGCATGTAGACCCAGGATCAAACCCTGGTCCCTATGCTTGCCAGAACAAGTGCTTAGTCTGCTGAGCTATCTTGCAGGCCCAAATAAGCAATTCTTAACTTTTACATTGTGTGCTTTTCTGAGTAATGTGATGAAATCTTTCCCTAGCCTGCTCTCCCCCACCTGGGATGTCAGTCTCTTTATCCAGCGTGTCCATGCTATGGGAGACACTGGCCTGTTGTTAGCCTTGGTGATCAGATCAACTGTAGTAGCATCATTGCAGTTGCATTCAGCTAACTCATTTTACTGAACAGCAGCTCCAGGGCACAAGGTGAGTAACACAGGCAGCTGAGATACGCGGAAGAGGCAACATAAAGTGTGTTCTTCGAGTGGAAAGGTGAAAGCTCTTGATAAAGGAAAAGTTATGTGCCCATGTTGCTAAGCTTGAAAATGCAGCAGGATATTTTGAGATACCACATACACAGAACTTTCAAACTGTAACTGTCCTATTTTGTTATTAACTATTAATGTTGATTTCTCACTTTGCTTAATTTATAAGTGAAAGTTTACCACTGGCATGTATCTATAGGAAAAAAGCTATATCAGATTCAGTACTGTCTGGCTTCATGCACACACACTGGGGGGCTTGGAATGTTTTCCTGCTGCATAAGGGGAGGTCTATGGTAAAGTACATTTACAAGGAGATAATTGCTAGAAACAAACCAAGAGCGAAGAATGGGATTGGAGGCCATCAGATGAGTGTTGCAGTTTAAAATGGTATTATAGGCTGGCCAGATAGCTCAGCGCACTAAAGTGTCAAGTTTAGGCAGAGTGCAGCAGCCTAGGCTCAATTCCCGGCATGCCGTGCTGGCCCTGCCCCTGGGGTGCACTGAGACAGTTGAGACAGTGTGGTGGTACACACCTATAATCCCAGCACTTGGGAGGCTGAAAACAGGAGAATCACTACAAGTCTGATCTACGTAGTGAGACCCTGTATGTTTAGTACTGAATACATAAAAATAAAAAAATAAAATGGTATTACAGGTAGCCTGGTGAGAGACAGGAAAAGCTACGGTTGAGAGGAGGTGTAGAAACCATCAACGGAGTAGGCTGAAGAGGGAGGATAGCCAGTGTGAAGGGGCAGGGCAGGGCTGGCGATCATGGGAAGGACGGACTTTGAGGAGGGGTGAGATGGAGAGCTTAGTGCTTGAAATATTGAGACAAAGCTCGATGACTAGGCAGAGCTGTTTTTAAGGAGTTGGCCAGTTCATCTCAAAGACAGAAAAGGTATGTATTTGGAATTAGCTGATCACTGATATTTAAATAGCGACATGTGATGGAGAACCTAAGGAAGTGAGTGTAGATGGAGAAGAGAGGAAAAGACTGAGCTATGGATGCCCCCACGTTGATAAGCTGGGTGAAAAGGAGCCAGTGGAGAAGAACTCCTAAGGAGGGAGGCAGAAAACCGGGAGGTGCCTGGTGTAGGGAGGCAGGGGCAGAGTGGTCACCTGTGGGAGAGCCTGCTGATGGTCGATGTCTTGACCAAGGATATGCATTTCATACTCATTTCAGGGAGTCTGCAGTTTTCCATTTATATTCTAAACACTTTTTGTGTGTGGGCTTTATCTTGCCCCCTCCACTTCTGGAATTCCCATGGAAACAAACCTGGGTTCGCCTTTTCCCTAAAGTAGTCTGTCTCACATCTGTCCTTCACAGAGCAACCAGGGAGGTCCCTATAAGAAGCATTGTGTACTCTTACCGGAGTCTTTTCCGCTGCTTACCATTGCTTTCAGAATAAAACTAATGTCTTGGGAGTAGCCTTCAGAGTGTAGAGATCCTTCTTGTCTCTGCTTCCACCTCTCTTGGGCCTTTGCAGAGGAGTAGTCCTCCTGTTTTTCACCTACAGCCTTTGTTTTCTTTTGTCTGAGAGATTCTTTCTCTTGCTTTTCAATTGTCTGGCTCCCCTCCTTTCAGATCTCAGTTCAGTTGTCACCTCCTTAGTGAGGCCTTTCTAATTCAGGGAATTTGCCTATCATTTTATATTTTTTTCGGTTTGTTTTCCTGTGCAGCTCATTTACTAGAATATAGGTTCCCTGATTATTGGGATAATATATCTCACATTTTTCTGCCTGCACAGCCTCTTCTGGTATTACTGGGACATAGTAAACATTCAGTAAATATTTGGGATTATAAAAACTGAAAGGTCACTGTCCCTTTGTTCTCAGTAATTGTAAATGTCACATATAGGAAGGTAGGTTGGGCCTGCCTGTAAGGATAGTATTTTAGATGTTCTTTAAAGGGACTCTGATAAGATAATCACAAATGGTAAGGATTGGCTTGAACCTTCACAGTTCAACACCTCCCACATTTCAGGGATTTATTTGTGCAGCAATGTTTGTTGACTGCTTGCCATGTGCCAGGCATTACATTAGTCACTAATTACAGAGTGGTGAGTGAGACAGATAGGAGAATCTGCGCTCATGAAGTTTATAGTCTAGGAAGGGTGTGGGGCTGGTGCAGCATGGGGTGCCAGAATTGAACCCTGGCACCTGCACTTACCTAAGCAAGCGCTTAGTCCCCTAAGGGTTGAGTGCTTTGGAGGGAGGGACTGAAGCCCTTTTAATATAAACATAGTGAGTGCAAGCACAGCATGTGAGATGAGGTCTTAGTTACTTTCTCATTGCTGGAACAAAATACCCAACACCCAAAGTTAAAGCAGGAAAGGTTTATCTTAAAGGTTGAAGTCCACAGTCAGCTGGCTTCAGAGCAGGGCAGCATGGCCCAGGGATACGGCAGAGGAGGAACAGTCCACAGCAAGGTTGACAGGAGGCTGAGAGCAGGCAGCAGCCACAAGCTTGCCTTTCTACATTCTACCAGGGCCGTAAGCCTGTTGGTTGATGTCACATGTAGCCAGGGTGGGGCTTCTGTTGTCCATACCCTTAACTCCAATATCTCACTCCTAATGCTCATGTACATGCCTTGATCCAGCCACCTTTGAAACTCCACCCTAGATTATATGAGGCTTTAGAGGGACATCCATATACAATCCATAACTGATAACATTAGAGGAAAGCATACGGCTTTGGAAAGTTTTAGAGACTACTTTCAAGAGCTTGTCTTTATCTCAAGTGTAATGGGAACTGTTTGGACACATACACACACACACTCTAGATACAGACCTCACACCCATCACAAACAACTCAGAATGGATCATATATTGAAAAATCAAGGCTATAAAATTTCTAGAAAACCAGAAAATATAGATGACCTTGAATTTCATGTTGATATTTTGCATTTAACACCAAAGCTATAATCTATGAAAGAATTGATAGACTGCCTAAAAAATAAAAATTTCTGCTGTATGAAAGACACTATGAAGAGAATGAAAAGAAATGCTATGAACTGGAAGAATATGTTTGCAGAAGAAACATCTGATAAAGGGCTGTTACAATACACAAAAAGAAGCCCTCTTAGCAGGAAGAAAAAAATCAACCTAATTGAAAAAACAAGTGCCAGAGATCCTATCAGACACCTCAGCAAAGAAGATAGATGACAAATAAACATATGAAAAGATGCTCCACAGCCTGTGTCATCAGGGGAATGCAAATTAAAACACCAGTACGATGTTTCACGCACCTATTCTGAAGGCTAAATCCAAAATAGTGACAACATCAAATACGGGCAAAGATGCAGAGTAACTGGAATGCTTGTTCTTTGCTGGGAGAAATGAAATGGACAGCACTGTAGAGGCAAGTTTGGTGGCTCCCTTCATATGTAAATAAACTCTTACCATATGACCCCATAATTATGCTACAAAAGCTTTGGAAACTTACATCTGTGTAAAGTATCTGCACATAGTTACTTAGAGCTGCTTTACTCGCAATTGCCGAAACTTTCAAAGAACCAAGATGACCTGGAGAAAATGAGGCCAAACTCAACTGTGGTATGTCTAGTCGGTGTAATACTTAGTGCTAAAAGGAAATGGGCACGAAAGACAGGAAACTGAGATGCATATGAGTGAGTGCCAAAAGCCTGTCTGAAAAGACAGCCTACTGGAAGACGTTCTGGAAGAAACAAAACTATGGAGGCAGTAAAGAAATAGATCCGTGGCTCAAAGACATTGAAGAGAGGGATGAGTAGATGGCATGGAGAGGAGTTTTAGGGCAGTGAAAGTACTCTGTGGTATAATAATGGAAGATACATCATTATATGTTTGTCCAAACCCATTGGATATATAACACTAAGGGAAGCTAGCGTAAGTTACAGATTTCGGATGGTGTGTGTCCATGTTGGGTCATCGGTTGTAACAACTACCACAACTAGGGTGGATGTTCATAGTGGGGGAGGTTGTACACGTGTAGCTGTATGGGAAACTTCTGTACTTTCCTTTCACTTTTGCTATGAACCTAAAACTGCTCTACAAAATGGGATTTAAAAAAGTTTTAAGAAATGGTTTTAAAAAGGTTTATCTAAAGGGCTTCAGTGTTTGGCATACAGGAAGCAATAATTTCAACTATAATTACATTTATTATTAATAATTAGACATGAGCAATAAAGGACATTGGAGAAACTTATCACAAGATCACAAGGTAAGTTTTTAAGGATTGCTTGCTAATTAATTGAGGGTTCCTGCTGACCTTGACGATGTCATGTTATACATTATACAGTGCCACCACTTTGTTCAATATCTGGACCAAATACGCCCCCCGGCTGCCAGCCAACTATTACAATGAAAAGCTCCTGAAGGTTGGAGATAGCCTTTGTCACCTCAGAGTAAGTGCTTGTGGGGTAGAGAGCCAAAGTAAGACTCATTTGACTAATTATTATTTGGCTGTGTACCATTCCTATTTTATGTTTCAGAAAGAAAAATCCCCAGTATACAAACATTTTAATGAGGCACAGTAACATAAAAAAAAAAGTGTTTGCTTTTTATTTTTGTATTTGAAATGCACTAGGGGTGAGAGGCTGTGAACTGGCAGGAGGCTGGGGGAACCGGTGGGGGTGAGCAGAGGGCGCGGTGGGCGCACAACAGGAAGTGCTGAGTCATCGTGTTCCGCCTCACACAAAGGCGCCCAGACACAGCTTCCTGTTGTTTTTCACATGGCTGGCCATGCCCGGTGGCCGCTGTCCTGTGTCCTGGCCGTGCTGTAACATGGCCCAGTTTTATGTCCCATTTTAATGACTTTTACCTCCTCCTGGCTGGATTCTCGCAGTTGTTCCGTAGCTGCCCTGTGTCTTGCCCAGTGTTGCATTCATTCCCGGTTGAGCTTGCATCACCATCATCTTTAGTTCCAGGGCTGCCTGTGTCCTGGAACTCTGCACTCGTGGGCTTGGTTTGATAAGACCAGGGCATGGTTGGGGTTTCAGTTAATGACAGTAATCTGGTATAGATCCGACTTACTCTGTATTACTGGAGTTCTAGGGCAGAATCCCTGGTCTCAGGGGTTCCAACAGAGGAGGCTCTGGCATGTGTCTCACGATGCCAGTGGTGAGGGGCAGGGAAGGGGATTTGAGCTGCATCGCTGTGCTGGAGGGGCAGATAAAGAGCTGCAAGATCTGATTTCCAGAGCCAAGCAGAAGCTTTGGGGCATTACCGAGTGGGCAACAAGGACCAGAGTTGGGACTGGAGAGTGAGGTGTCTATACTGGTACTATACTTCTGGTTAAGTCCTGGACTGATGGGCTATTATCTCAGAACTGTTTCTGAGAGAGCCATTATCCCTTGAGGGGGCAGTTCTGTCTGCATTATGAGATGACAGTTCTTGGTTAGGGGACTTGTCTTGAATCTCATCATGGGGTCTATACCTGGTTGGGGGTGACGTCACCATGGATCGGTCTGCAGTGCTCTGCTTTATCCAGGAAGGCATGGTGTTTGCAGTTTTAGGGCAGTGACTTGACTCTAGGTGTGGCTCCAGGGAACTGGAACTGGAGGTTAGGAAAGCTGGCAATGGATGGCCCTTAAGCTACTGAAATTTCCTTTACTAACCCTTATGGTGTCTGCAGTTGTGAAGGGAGATGAGGTAGGCTAAGTAAATTTAGGACTAGTAAAATCTCACACTGCACATATTCCTTGAGTGATTTAAGGTTCTGACCCAAAGTTTGAAGGCCCTGAAGGAGACATACAAGGAAGGCAGAGATGCCCACATTTTGCGCCCCCCCCCCCCCCGCACAGTATACAGTATGCTCATTCATCTTTTTCATGGTCTCTTCCCCACTTCTATTTTCTGGACTTAAATTCTTTTTATCTGGGAGATGAGTTTATTGAAGAGAAGATAAGACATACAGTTTTCATAATAAAGAACTAAGGTCTGTTTTCCTCTGCCAAAATAAGAGATAACCTCAACCCATATGCTTGGGTCATGATTCTTGGAAATGTGAGAAAATGGAGTTTGGAAAACTATAGAAAAAATACCTAGGTGAAATCCACTATGTAAGCTGCATTCATGTTCAGACTGACTGGTGGATTCTTGTGCTCTATCAGGAGAATCTACAGAAGCACCTTGGTACACAAGCAAAGCTTTTGTTCTTCCACTGTAGTCTAAGGGAGAAAGTACCCTGGGAGACTGGAAGCTCAGGCTGAGCCAAACAGGACGAAGGTGCCCATGGCATGGGGTGGGGTGGGGTGGGTAGGCAAGGACCTGTCTCTTAATCACATATGCAGATGTGGAGCTTCAGTTGTGTCTTGGCTCCTAATCAGCATGGCTCTTCATGGGACCCAGGTGTCATTACTGTCTTAGATGTCCACTAGAGCATGGCTTTGATGTTGCCAACGCAGTAAGGGAACTGTACTTTAGTGACTTTCTGTGCATATCTTTGTCCCATGCCACCTGGCACTGGCTCCTGATTATCTGGGAGAGTTCCTAGTTGGGTTTGGGTTAGGGAAGATTGCTTCCTTGTGGCATGGGTTTGATTTTAATGATCTCATGTCTTGGTTCTGGCTTCTTGGTGTCTGCTGATCTCAGAATCTTTGAAGGCTGTGCTGTCTTCACGTTCTTGCATCTCCTGTTGCTTTAGCTTAATTTTATAGCCTTGAAGCTTGGTCCACTTCTTAATTGTAAAGTTCCTGATTTGTTTGTTAAACCTGTAAGACAGGAGTGCTAGCCTAGCTGTCTCTGTGAAGTGGAGTAGCAGTTTGGGCAAGACATGGAATAGAGCTTCCTCTCTGTTGTTCCACCTCTGCGTCTGAGAAGCTGGCTGGGCACAGTACGATAGGGATGTTGGAGGGGTGACCCGGGGGCTGTACAGGATATGGAGAGGGAGGAGGAAGTGGATAAAGCAGGTTGGTGACAGGTAGGAGCTAAGGTTCAGGCTGTTGTTGGCAGAAAGGCCTGGAGAGGGTATTTTAAAATTTAATTAAATGAACAACAACAGAAAAGTCCTATCTACTTTTCCCTGGTGGGAAAACTGGCCACTGAAGGTAATCCCCAAAATGAACTTGCTACTTTGATTTATATATTCTTAAAATTATGTATTTTCTTATATATATTCTTAAAATGATGTATTTTACTATAATTTCAATTATAGTAAAGCTCATCTTGTAGAATACTCTTGTTTCAATTCTGTTTGAACTTACTAGGTGAGTTAATTAGAATAGGAAAGATTCAGAATTAATTAGTGAGCAGATAATAAACAAGTAACCAGAAATAGGAACTAAAGTATGGGGCTGTGGAACCTCTCACAGGGTAGGTAGCTGGCCTCGGCTCTTCCTGGAGACACAGTTGTCCTGGAGGAAGGAGGAAGGGTTGCCCCCAAATCAGTTTTAGAGCACTGTGCATGTCCCCTACCCCAAGCTCTCAAGGTCAGGCCCCCTTCTTCTCCCCAAAAGTAATGACATGTGTGACAGGGGCAAGGAGTCTCCTCTGATGGGAATATGGCGTGTTGGCCAGGTTGAGCTGTCGAAGATGAGCCAGCAAGCTCCCTCCCCATCTCCATCTCCTCTGTTAGCCTCCTTCTCTCCTTCCTGCCATCCTTCTAAGCCCAGGAGCATCGGAGAAGCAAGGCTGTTCCCTCCCTCTGTCCTGAGTGCGGGTTGCTACTGTCTAGTGATTGAGTATTGAGTGCTTGTAAGTTTGTCCATGTAGAGCATCTAAGTATGTGTTCCTTGTGGTCATGATGGTCCCTTCTCGTAGTGGTCTTGTGGAGTGCAGAGTTAGAGAAACTAATGCACATAAATACCGTAGTGTGCATTCTGTCACACGATACATATTTGGAAAATGGTAGCAATAGCAGCAATATTAATGACCAAAATTGATACTATTCCTAGTAATAGAAATATTACTTGATCTTATGGTGATATTTTGAAACTTAAATTGAGTTCTCTTTATTTTAGGAATACAAACTGGCCCTTTTGCAGTGCTATGGAAGATTTCTTCAACAGTTTGATGCCCATTTTGATGAAAATAAAGCAGATGTGAATCAATTCAAAGCTGTCTTTTTTCCAAAAGGCTCCGGAGATAACACAGCTAGACTTACGGTAAGATACGGAAAGGATATGAGTAGCTTTGCTTTGTCATTAGTAATGCCATGTGTCACTTAGTGGGCGGCCTCAAAATTCCTTCTGTTGGCCTATTATAGCCTCTTGCCACGCATTATAAATTGCCTTATAAATGCTTTCTTATCGTGCTGTTGAAGTGGGATAAGAAAGTGAACTCATTAAACTTTGTAACAATGTTTTGGGGATTGTATCAATTTCAATTTACTTATAATAACTAATATTTATAGAGTACTTTGAGTTTACAAAGTGTGCTGGAAAATATAATTGATTCTTATAATAGCTTAATGAGTTAGATATTATTTTATTGCACTTTTTTTGGGTGGCATTTTTTTTTTTTTTTTTTTGAGACAGGATCTCCTTCTGTAGTCCAGACTAGCCTTAAGCTCACTATGCAGCCCCGGCTGACCACAAACTTGCTGTGAAACTCCTGCCTCAGCCTCCCAAGTGCTGGGATTATGGGTCTGCTTCATTATGCCTTGCTTATTGTCCTATTTTAAATACAGACAAACAAAGCTTATGTCACAGTGCTTGGCTGGGTGTGATGTGCGTGCCTGTAATCCTGCCTCTGTGGGATCTGAGGTGGGGGACCACGAGTTCCAGCCCAGGATGAACAATTTCTGATTTAGAGAGACCTTGTAAAAAAGAGGGTGGGAATGTCACTGTATGCAAAGGCCATAGCTCAATTCCTGGTACCAGGTGGATCTTTTGACATAAAGATTGTTTTATTTATGTTAATGAGCACGACTGTTAATTGATAGAGTTAATTCACTAGTGGAGCAGTTATTGTGTGGTAGGCTGTCTTCTAAATGCATTATGTGAGGCTGGAGATATAGCTCAGTGGGAGAGCGCTTGCCTAGCATGGAAGAGGCCACAGGTTTGATTCCCAGCAACCCTAAAGAACTGTAGAATTGTATTACAAGAATTATTGTCTTATAGTATCACTGTGGTCCTAAGAGGTGGAAAATCAAATTTATCAGAGATTAAGATTAAGATTACAGGCGTAGTGGTACACCCTGTAATCCTAGCATGTGAGATGCTGAGGCAAGAGGATTTTTGTGAGTTCAAGACCAGCATCAGCTACAAAGTGAACTGACAGCCAGACTGAACTGCATAGTGAGACCCTGGCTCAAAAAGATGGAAAAAAAAAAAAAAAAAAAGAAAGAAAAAGAAAATAGAAACCAGCCCAGCCTGTGCAGAACAGTGGGCAGGGAAGGTATTTGAACTCTGAGCTGCCTGCTTCCAAAATGCTGTCCTTCCAAGTAATGTCTCTTTGGAGGTCTGGGAGCAGTGGTGGTTGGCTCATAGGTAGATCTCAAGGCATGGTGGGGACCACTGAATCGTTCAGGTTGGCTGAGGCACAAATATAGGAACAGGAATGAGAATCCTGGGCAATGTGGGTTTGCGCCCCGCTGGGAAGAGGGCTGGAAAGGTCTCTGCTAGCCTCCTTGTCTGGACCTTTCACCCCACAACCTACAGTTCATAGCAATGCTTTGTCAGGTTCCATTTCTAAAGGAGAAATCACCACTGACTTTGCTTTGCCCTTTGGCTAGAGATCAAATTCCTTGGGGGGCCTGCGATGTAGCTTAGTGGCACAGTGTCTGTCTGGCAAGCACAAACTCATGAGTTCGATTCCTGATACAAAACAAAACAAAACAAAAAAATCCAATTCCTTGGAATGCCAGGGCACACTCTCCAGGGTTGCTCCTGGGGCCAGCCACCTCCACAGTCTCATCTTTTGACTTAATAACTTTTTATCCAGACTCAAAAAACACCTTCAGTTCAGTACTGCGGCAGTGCCTAGTGCTATGCATGCCGGGAACTCTTTCCTCTGTCACCACAGGGGTCATTTCTTCTTGTCTTAGAATGCTTGTCACCTACAAGAGTGTGATGTAGATGGCAGTCAACATTTTGTTGGATGAATTGGGTAAATGGTGGTAATCAAATCTGAATCAGTAAACAGGGTAAAGTTCTACTGGGCAGGTTTATAAAAGTTGAGTCAGTTTTATGTTTTTGCTAAAGGATTCTTTCTTTTTCTTTGTTTTTGTTTTTGAATTTCTTTGACTAAGAAAAGCTAATCCTAAGTGGATGTTTTAAAGAAACTTAGCTTGTTTCTTTGTATATCAATCTATTATACAAATTAAGCACCATTGTTTCTATTTTAGCTTTCTACATTTTGGGAAATGCTTTTCTGAGTTGCATAAGCCTTATTTTATATTCCCATTTATGTTTTCCCTTGTGTTTCAGTTTCATGCTTTGTATGGCAAAAATATTTGTAGCTACCAGCTGGTCTGCGACAGTGATGTAAACCTGCAGAACCAAGACTCTGTGAGCCAGTGTCTGCATATCTTGTCCTCCTTGCGGCTCATCATGCAGGTGGCGCTGCCACAAGAGCACCTTTGCTGGATTGTCTTCAATGGTATGCGCCCACACCCCCCCAGGGAGTTACACAGATGCAGCGTCTGACAGCAACTCAGTTACCTTGTGATTGAAAATGTGTGCCTTTCATGGTTGGATGTCTTTTTTTTTTCCTTAGAAAAACACTTGTTTTACATTTTAGTTGTTTTTGTCTCACAAATAGGTCTTTCAGCGCATGTCTTTGGGTTTTGCACTAGGGGTAGTCAGTCTGGGGTGTACAAAAGCAGGGCCACAGTTAATAATGGAAAGTTTAAGATACAAATGAGTAAGAATCAGGTGACCCCTGCAGGCTAGCCCGGTTCTTCGTGGCACCCATTTGCTGGGCTTCTCCTCACTGTCCTTGCCACACACTTTTTACCTTGTGCACAGCCACATTTCTGCTCTAACTAGTACTGAGCAAGGAGCTCTGAGAGCACGTGTACACATACGTGTATATATGCACATGCATGTGCATTGAGTACGTCTGCAAAGGTGTGCATCTTAGCTGGAAGATGTTTCTCTATTCTGAGGTTGCGTGGAGTCACTGTATTCTCAGAAAATACATATATATATATATATATATATATACACACACATTTATTTTAAAACCTTTTAATCTATTTCATATCTATGTCTGTAGCTATTTATCTATCTATAGGTATTTCATTGTTCTGGGAATGGATAATATATTCTCTTCTCTGTCCCTTTCTTCTTTTTGTGGGGCGTGTGCTGGAAATTGAACCCAGAGCCTTGCTCATGCTAGGCAAGTGCTGTACCCGTGAGCTACCCCCTACGCCCTCAGCCCACTGGATAATACAGTCATAAGCAAAATAAACAAATAAATAAATAAATAAATGTGCAGGGCCAGGGAGATGGCTCAAGGGCCTGATCAGTCCCTCGTTCCGCAAAAAAAAAAAGTGATGGTATTTTGTCATGTGTTAGAAGACTAGGGCAGAGTAACTCCAAGGATAATGTATTGGTTCGTTCGTTCTTTCTTTCTTTCTTTCTTTCTTTCTTTCTTTCTTTCTTTCTTTCTTTCTTTCTTTTTTTAGTACCAGGGATTGAGCTCAGGACCCTGTGCTTGCCAGGAAGGCATTTATTCTATTGAGCTATCTCCTCGGCCCTGGGTTTTTCTTTATCCAGTGTTTAAGAAAAAAAGTATAGTTCTGAGACTTTTCTTTCTCTGTCCATCCCAAAATATATTTTGGCTGAAATTGGACTTCACATTTGCTGCCTCAAAATGAAGTGGACTTAGATGAAGCTTTTCAGCTCAGGGACTTTTGTGTCTAGTCGTCTTGAGGCGACCTTAATTCCACAGTCACTGCTGCATCTCCTACACCTCCTGGTGGGGACGGCAGACAGGAGCAGGGTTGGATATGCAGCTGGGCCTGACTTAGTGCGTGGGAAGGGTGCAGGATTCCTTCAGTCTTTCTGAGATGAGACAGATACGTAGCAGACAAATCTATAGTGTTCTTTATAAAGAAGAAAAGATGAAGTGAATTCCATATCTTCTGTATCCTTTTCTTGGTTCAACTTTTTATTT